TGGTGGTGGTGTTGGTGGTGATGGTGGTGGTCGTGTTGCTGTTGTTGTTGTTGTTGTTGATGTTGTAGTTGTCGTCGTTGTTGTTGTTGCTGTTGTTGTTGTTTTATCTGTGTCTAAAGTGTGGATGTGCAAATGTGCTTAGTGTCCTTGCCCTTCCTTTAAACTTCCTCCTCTTTTTTAAGGTCTTATGGCAATTTTTGGGGTTTTAAATGACGTTGGTCCTTTTTGAGCTAAAGCAAGACGTCAGCAGCTGCTGACAAACGTTTACGATAAAAGAAGAAACTTTTCAGTTTTCTTGTACACTTTTATACCCACCTTATCAGCAATAATACTGTTTTCAAATCCCAACGTTGAGAACCCCACATTTAAGGCCCTCTGTCCGGATGAGGCGCAGGGTCCTCCAGGTGGGTAAGTTGTCTGAATCCCGTTGACAGCAGCTCCCAAGACGTAGTCTCTCATTGTTCTCTGTGTCGTCAGATGGGCCAAGCAGTACGAGCTGAATTCGTTATTTTTCGACATCGAACCTATAAGTTCGTCCGCACTTGCATTCATTTCATCGGTGTTGTACTCGTCCCATGTACTTTTGCCACTCGTGTACTGCGTTAAAAGAACGAGGCGTCTTACTCTCATCCCAATGTTTCTGAAAGGTCCAAAGATCGTTGATGTGAAGATTTTGTTGACTTTGTGGTGCCAGAAAAGCAGTAAGTGGGCACTCCACTGGGGGTCTCTTTGTCCCAAACGGTCAAAAGTGTAAGTGTCCATTATGGCAAAGATGTCGCATATGTTGTGAAAAGGCGTTACGGAACGCGACAGTCTGTGAAAGCGAACATCTTTGGCGTAATAAGGCCCCTTGTCGTTTCCAGAAGCAGGTTCCTTGTTGACGTTTCCTCGAGATTCTTTCACGTGATTGTAGCTCTCGTTTTGAAATAAGTGACGAAACTTCCGAGCATCGTAGGTTTTACATGATTTATGAAGTAAGTTAGAGACTGCTTCGGATACATTGCCAAGTATAAGATCTGCTGACCTGTGGAAACGGAGTGAGAAAGAGTAGTGTGAGTAAATACTAGAAGGTGTTCTTTTTTATTTATCTTACGCCCTTCCCCCCCCCCTCTCTCTCTCTCTCTCTCTCTCTCTCTCTCTCTCTCTCGCTCCCCCCTCACACGTACACTTTCTTTCATGCATAACACTCCCCCCCCCCTTTTTTTCTATCCCAATTACTTTTTCTCACTCACTCCCACCTACCCCTTTTTTTAAATAAAAAAGCTGGTCTATTAATATTATATCATCGGTATAACTTTAAAACATATCAGTAATTATAATGGTGATAACAACAACAACAACAACAACAAGAAAAACAACAACAACAACAACAACAACAACAACAACAACAACAACAACAACAACAACAGTAACATTAATTGTAAAAATAATTGTAATAATAATCTTAAAAAATAACAGTAATACAGTTTAACAGGGATTGGTCAAACATAGAAGACTCAAAATCACGCATTCATCGAAGTGTACCTGCAGTCCCGTTTTTATTTCTTCTTTTATCTTTGTAAGATATCCCTCGAACTACCTATGCCGGTCCCGACGAATTCGAGGTATCCGTGTTATACTGTAATAATAGCAATGATGCTAATGATGATGATGATGATGTTATTATTATTATTAATGAAATAATCATGTTAACTTCAAAAGGCAGTAGCAAGAACAACAACAATAACAGAAGCAACAGAAGCAATTAATTCAGCTTTGATTTTTAGTTAAATTTGAGTGAGGAAAAGCACTTCACCACATCAATAGTCTTTTTCTGCTATGAAAAAACAACACCAACAGCCAAACAGCAACAACAACAACAACAACAACAACAATAATAATAATAATAATAATAATAATAATAACAATAATAATAATAATAATAATAATAATAACAACAACAACAGCACCAGCAGCAATAGCAGCATAACAACTCCGAGGTAAACGATAAGCATTTTCCAGCATTTCAGAGTCTTTCTCGGCTGCTTTAAACTTTAAGGAAAAAAAAAAAGGGGGGGGGGGTTTGGTTAATAATGACTTCGTGCCTTTCCCCACACTGCCTTGTCTCACCTGTATATGACCATGTTCTGAGACGTAGAGTGTGTCTCGTGTCGCCGGATGGGCTCTATAGTGTAATGCTCTACCGTGTCTTGGATGTCGGCTGTCCACATCCCGTTCACGTGAAAGGCGTCAACAGAAGTGTCTGGTTTTCCGCTAACAGATCCAGAATAAAGTCTATCTGTGTCTACTGTGAACTTTTCTGACCTGTCAAATAGATGGAAAACATAATTCGCAATCATCATAAACATATTACTATCTGGACTCAGCAATATCTGCTCATTCAAAAGAGTAAATTTAAAAAAAAGGGAAAGTCAGTTACATGTTGGGGCTGCTTTAGTTACAACAAACGATATTGTTTGCTCTGCATTGGCTATCATATTATGTTGTGTGGTGATGGCTCATGTTTAAAAAAAATTGTTATTTTTATTCTAGTTTTGTTTTGTGTGTCTTTCTTTTTGGGTGTCATGTTAATGTTCTTAAATTCGTATCAGACAATCATTGAATATGTAAATGAGAGTAAGCTGCGATGGCTCGTGTTGCTATTAAAGTCAGTAGGCCAACGTTCCAGAAAATTATGCTCCCAGAAGTAAATGCAAACGAGTAATAGTAGAATGTCTTGATCTTTTGTTAAGAACAAGTACCTACCTGGTCACTTGGTGGGCCATTTTTAGGTTGAGTGTTTGGTCCACCCACGAGGACTCAAGGCGGAAGAAAAAAAACTGAGTCTAGGACCAAAAGACTTATTTTCCTACTGCAATCGAACCTCTTCTCTTACTTTTCTCGTTGGCAATGATCTGTAAGGGTAAGTGACACCCACGCTCAAGGACCCTCGAGCAAGTGTTGAGTTCCTGCATGCTGACGGCATCGCTGACCGCTTATGACGCCACAGCGTCAGAAGAGAGAGAGAGAGAGAGAGAGAGAGAGAGAGAGAGAGAGAGTGTGTGTGAGTGTGTGTGTGTGTGTGTGAGTGTGTGTGTGTGTGTGTCTGTGTGTGTGTGTGTGTGTGTGTGTGTGTGTGTGTGTGTGTGTGTGTGTGTGTGTGTGTGTGTGTGTGTGTGTGTGAGAGAGAGAGAGAGAGAGAGAGAGAGAGAGAGAGAGAGAGAGAGAGAGAGAGAGAGAGTAAGTAGCAGCTCACCTTCCATCAGCCCCGACAAGACTGCACTCCAGCTCCTCCGAATCGACCACAGACCAGCCAGGGGTAAGAACGAGATGAAATCTCATACCAAATGCTTTGAAGCGCAAAATCTTGTAGTCCACTTGCCCACTCACTGCGTCTCTCTTTGTCCTCACCCTGAAGTCACTTGGCGTCAAAACTTCAAAATGTCTCAGTCTGGAGTGAATACTTCCCTCTCCCGTTTCGAACAGCCAGATAGTCCATAACAGAACAACATGCAGCGGGCCATGGTTCACATTCATTTTATGCTGAACACACACACACACACACACACACACACACACACACACACATGTATATATATATATATATATATATATATATATATAGACGGCAACTGAAATCCGATTCTCAAAAAAAAAAAGTAGGCTATCTTAAAAAAACCAACCCAATCCAAAACAAAAACTCTGTCAATGAAGGGTGAAAGCTAAAGATCGACTAAAAGACTGAACCTGAGTTTCACTTTGACAAAAATAAGATACCAAACGATGCTACACAACATGCACATGCATGGAAGGAAGTAGATACACAAGATGACAAAAACGGCTATAATATAGCCCTAACTCTGACACTATCTCACCTCGATATAAATTTCAAGTAGACATTAATTTCTAGCACGAATATTAGATCTATGTCACCAAATCACACCGCCCTTTTATTTTCCCGAGTGAGCATAATTTTATGAGCTATGACTATCACTATCATCACCCTGTGAGTGACATTGTTCCTCATCATGTCAAATCTTTCCAGTAAAATTTTGAGCTTTGGCTAGTTTGCTGCTGTTCAAGTTGTTACCATTTATTTTTTAAAAATGCTGCCACTAGGTGCTCTGCTTGTCCAAAGAACAAAGGGAGAACACAATCCCTGCACACGAGCATGTTTAAAAAAAAAAGAAACTAGATCTAGATATCTACATGTACTTTTTTTTTTTTTTTTTTTTTTTTTGGGGGGGGGGGGGGTACCGCAGAGGGCCGGAACTTACTGTTTTTGATTACTCTATATTATTTATACGATCAGAATAAGCAGACTGCCGAATCTGACCAAGGTACTTGCTTGTACCAATGATCGTACACAGTACACCATCTTTAGGCCTAGCCTGCGGTTGTCAAGTAGCCTACGGAAGTTGAACTTGGACAATAAGGGTGCACTTCTGCGCAATTCAACACAACTTTCTTTTCATACAAAAACGCGCGCCTTCTTTAGTTGAGAAAGAACGGGAATTATGTTCTCTTAACGATGATGTCTCCTCTTCCACATCAAAGACCAACACAATGTCATAATGTGGGAGCCGACTTGCGCCGACCAAATTGAGTGCAATGTGATGAATAAACCGCTAGTGTGTCAAACACGCCACTGACAAACAGCGCTAAATATAAAGGGTGGTGTGAATAGATGTGGAAAGTGGACATCACTGGTGAGACAGAGAGATAGACAGGTATCGACCAAGCTAGAGAGAGAGAGAGAGAGAGAGAGAGAGAGAGAGAGAGAGAGAGAGAGAGAGAGAGAGAGAGAGAGAGAGAGAGAGAGAGAGAGAGAGAGAACTTGGAAATGGAGGAATTATATCAGTCCAAAATGGGTTTTTGATAGCATAAAATCTTTAAAGATCATCAACATGAAGCGCCAGATCTGCGACAGACATCAGCAATCATGGTTCTTCATTTATTCCTTTACTCAGATTCTCCCAAAAAGGCCACATTATCCTGATCTTTCCCAGTCCCCCATTGCTCTGGGTCTACCTGTAGCTCGTTTGCTCTCAGTTTTGCTAGCAAGAGTTAGATGTTCAATGCCTTTATGTCGATTCAAGAAACGTCATTAAAATTTGTCTTTTCCTGATTGTTTTTATCAGTGAGCGGCCAATGTGGGATTCTTAAAGTCAAGTAGATCTTCTACCTTATTTGATTTCTTTTCCTTCCAAGAAACCCTCAGCAGTCTACTAAGAAACCACATTTCTGTTGCTTCTGTTTTATTTTCATTGTCTTTGGTGATTGCCCAGTATTCACAACCATACGAGGGTAGAAGGGTTGGCTACACACAGCATTTTTAGAAATGTCATTTTGGTAGTCATTGGGATGTTTCTATTTTTCAAGATTGAGCTCATTTTTATTGAAACTACCTTTAGCCATTGCAGGACTATCCTACAAAGAAACAGCAGAAGAAGGGAGACGAAGATGCAGAAAGAGTAAACGACGAGAAGACCACATTAAAAAGTCTCTACCTCAGAACTGCAAAGTTCTATCTGACATTTTTGGCCGTTTTGAGTTACTGAGCCCATGAGGTCAGAAACTAAATGTTCTATCTGCTCTATCAAAATCGTAAGATTATTCAGAGTCGTTATCAAAGATTTCCAAGAACTGAATTTGAAACGCTTGACATGTTGTGAAACTCAAATTTTTTTTTTTACATCAAATTTCTCAAAACTGAGCAGATACAACTTTGTAATTCTGAGGTAGGAAGTGAACTGGTCGTGACTAGAACATCTAACTACGGAGAGGTGAGAAATGAGAGGCCTGGAAAAATCTTAGGATAGTTGTAAAATATGCAGTGGTGCTACAACAGTCAGCCAGACTACGGGATAGGTGAAGGAAAATAGTGTCGCTCCTAAATGATTCGGCTCTGTTTACTTTTGGAGTAGAGAGAAGCACATTGATCACTGGGCACGTGAAAAGAAAGACAAAGACAAACAACATAAAAAAACAACACCCCAGTAGTAGTCCCTGCCAGTGGTGCCTTCCATTCACCCACCTTCAGTTTCAGCTTTGCGACAGCTCCCCTCTCTTGAGCAAATTAATGCATTGAGCTCTAATCCCTTAGAAACAAGACTTGACCAGCGTCAGTGGTGTAGCAATTAGGTGCTTCCCCAGGTACTGTTCATGATGAAGACTTGAGTTCGATTCCCATTTGTGGAGGATTTTTATTGAGTATCTTGGTCTTTCTGCAGGGACATCGTATCCTGCTCAGCCCTGGTTGGCCCTGACAGATGGGATCGAAGCCCACCTTGTAAATTATTTAAATTAAGTCAACAGAGGCATTAAAACTTCTACACATAAAAAAGTTGGATTTCACGCTGTAGACCGTAAACTTATTAAACGCTTTGACAGGGAATTTCACTTGAAGAAGTATTATCAAATATCTGATTACAGTTCTTATGTTTAGATAAACCAAATATTTGATGGTCTCTATTTTTTTATGTTTACGAACCCAAAACTGCAAACCTTTTTCAACAAAGGCAGCGTGAATTCTTTTTTAAAATATATGTCACAGCCTAGTATATAAAATGAACTCCATTTTCTTCTGTGTTTCTTAATTTATCACCAGCATAATCATTTAACAGTGTCAAGGACATGGGGTACTGCACAACACATCAACTGATAACAGCAAAACCAGGATGAAACTGTAAGCATATTTATTGATCACAATCATTCAGTAAAAAAAGTCATGTGTATTGCATAGTGTAAACATATCTTTTTAATGCCAGCTAAAGACTTCATATTCATCTTCAAAGTCAAGCACCACTGATTAAATGTTTACTGTGATAAATGGAAGCACGCAATCAACGATAAGTTACATTATGCTTGACATCACATATGATCACGAAAGAAGAAATAAAGAATCAACCAGTGGATACCTTTTGAATGTCCATAAAAACATATATGAAGGACTTTCATCTTTGATATCCTAATAATCTGATCAACATGTAATATAATCCTGACTTCTGCGTTCATACAAAGAAAAGTCTGATAAGTAAATTCCTGATTGCTCAATACAAGAAAAGTATGGAAATCACATAGCATTTATTCAGCAATAAAGTGTCACAGTAGCCGTATCAAATTCTTGAACAAGAACACAAAACAAATTTTACAACTAGCCCTATAATTCAACTTTGAGGACTTAAAGTACTTACAATTTCCAATTTGTTCATTAACTCTGACTAGACAAAAATGTTATGTTAAATGGCAGCACACTTGGTCCAGAAGTTAGAATATGGAGGAAAAAAAGAAGAAAGGCAGAGGCGATATATCGAAGAAAACATTACACCTATACATCTCAGCACACAGAGGTTTCGTTGTAGTTGTTGTTATCATGTGTTGTCCCAGGACTGAGGTAGATGAACCACACCTCTCCTAGCCAATCTGTCCTGTGCCATTGTCATGCACTCAGCCAGCATTTTTTCTGCTCCCTGTCCAGTCTTTTATATAATTTGTCCTTTGACATCTTGATCCTTTAACGTTTCTCTCTTTCTTTCTATTTTTCTTATCAGCACTGTTTTTGGAAAACCATCTTGCCTCATTATATGTCCGAAGCAAGCCAATTCGGATGTTTTCTAGAGTTTTTTCAGGATTCAAACAAATTATGAGAACAAGTTGTTGATTGTTCAGTACCCTGTCTTTCCAACAAATCATCATTATCTTTATGCAGATTTATATTTCAAAGGCTTATACCTAACAGTGACTGATAATTCTCTTGACAGCATAAGAATTTTCATCTAAAGCAGGTGGATTTAGTTCTGACGACAGAAGCAGAAGCTTACATGTGAGTTGTGCCTGTGGTGGTTTTTTAAGAAAAGGAGTAAAATCAAAAGTCACACATATTTACTTTCAGCTTCAAGAAATAATGTTGATGTACACAAAAAAATCAACTCTCCATTTCCAGTTCCAAACTTTAGAATCTGCTCAATTATATCACAAAAATATTCTAGGAGGCATAATGGTATTGCATGAAATAGCCCATTATAAAAATCCTTATTAAAGCACGAAAAACAAAAAAAAACTATAAAAAAAACCAACCTTTCCAATCCTATAAATTCTATGAGCTGCCTATTCAACCATATTATAATTTTTTTTGTTTTGTGGGGGGGCAAAATGGTACCACATGACATAGCCCACCATAAAAAATCCTTTCTTTAATGCATGAAAAACAAACAGAAACTACAATTCAAAGCCAATCCTATAAATTGGAAAAGCTGCTTGCCACCCATGACTTGATCAGCTGATGCGCTATAGCCTCTCCAGGAGGAACATAGAGGCCATGTGGGTGTTGACCCGCTAGCATCTGTGCCACTTCCGCTCGAGAGAACCAACGAGCCTCCTCCAACTCACTCGTGTCCACCTGAGGATAAGGTTTGGAACACTGAGGAACCACTTGACGTAAGAACATTCCCTATCAAACAAAAACTCAATACAAATTTGTGCCAATGTCAGTCATATTCAGATGTAAGATGCGACGGGCTATTCCAAGCTGCGAAACTCAAAAAGAAAAAAATCCGACAGCGTTGAATTTTTTGTTCATCTCATGTCTTGAAAGTTTGTTGCTCTGGGTTTCATTTCATATCAAAATAAGCACTTTTACTCTGAAATATGTGTTTTGTTTTAATTTATTTCTGAGAAGTGTATGGTCTCTCTGACATGAGAGTGAGGAACGAGAAGAAGGAATTTGGGCTTCAAAACCCTTTCGATTTACAAACCTGTTTTCCTAAACAGCCAGACTATTTATAGAACCACTGCCTGGTTTTTCATTTTCATTTTCCTGTAATTTGCAGTCTTAAAATTTCCATTTTCATCAAACATTGTCCCGTTTGACTGCATTTTTTCTTGCAGGGAAAGGTGATAGTTTTTCACTCTAATATTACAAACTTTGTGAAATTTCAATTTTATGTCTGATTTTGATTGGCATTGACACATATTTATGAAGACATGACATTAGCATCTAATTCTGAACATTGTGAGGATTGTCATCCTCTCAATCCTGTCCTCTCTCTTTCTCCTCTTATTTCTTCCTTCTCATACACTCATATATCTCTTTTAAGTACAGATACTTTTTGTCAAACAAAAAATAATAAAGATTCTTGCACTGTAGAAGTAGAACATCTAATTTTAAGCTCCCCAACATAATTTTTAAACCAAAGGGGGTGTGAGGGGAGAACAAAACATTGTTTTCATTACAAAATTCACCAGATAGGCAAAAAGTCTAGAATTCTTTTTTTTAGTTTTAGTGTTTTATGGGACTCGCAACAAAATAAGGTAATATAAGTGCCGAAGATTAGAGGTGTTACAAGAGTAACAAACATAAAACAGAAGGAGGAGAGATTAGGAAGATAGACATTTGATAGGAGAAAAGGAGCACCCGCCAACCACCCACAAGTCTAGAAGTAACGTGTCTAAATCTTTGCCACAGGGCACGCAGATTGGCATGGTGGGAGGACAACTATTTGTTTGAATAAAGACATCCATTACAGGAGGCTCGGGGGCAACAAGTACCCAGTTTTCTCAGAAGAAGGGCGAAAAACTCTTGATATTTTGAAGAAGAAGAAGAAGAAAAGAAGAAGAAGAAGAAGAAGAAGAAGGAGAAGAAGAAGAAGAAGAAGAAGAAGAAGAAGAAGAAGAAGAAGAAGAAGAAGAGGAAGAAGAAGAACAACAACAACGACAACAAAACGAACACTTCCTGAAACTTCTGAGTAGTTATGGGTATTAGACATGCATCCATACCTTTAGCGCACTTGTGCGTGCATAAGCTATACACCCAAGCATTAGAACAGCAGGGAAGGGCCATGGTTGGCTGGAATGATAATCAACTCGACCAACTTTGATGCCACTTTCTTCCTCTACTTCTCTTCGGCATGTGTCCTCAAGGCATTCACCTGTCAAATTTTAAAAAGGATTATGGTACTTTAGAGTCATCAGTGAATTCAAATTCTTTTCTTCCTCTCAGAATTAAAAAAAACAAACTCTCAAGGTTTAATTCATATTCAGAACGCTTTGAACCAGAATGTCTATATATATATTTGTTGAGTGTCAACATAAATCTATACCGGAGAGGGGAAGATGAAAAAATGTGCATGTGATTGAAAATATGAAAACTCCTACGTCCTTTTAAAACAGCCTCTCATTATTTGTAATCCATTTTTCTTTCTTGAGTCATGGCACTACAACATAAAGACAAAGTCAGACATGAGATTCACAAAGCTTCCTTCAACTTGAGAGACCAAAACTTTTGTGGAACATTTTCTCTTAGGAAAATAGAGAGGATACAAGAAGCAATCAATTGAAAAATTCACACTAAACTCAAAGATGACATCGTTGTTACCATATTCACATATTCTGAACAACAAAAAAAGGAAAAAAAGTTGGATCTACCTGTAAACAAAATACATTTTCCCAAGAGAATTATAAAAACAGTAAAGAGTAAAAAATCATCACACAGAAAAAATAAATATCTTCAACAACACACCCGCAGGGAGGAAAACAATCGATTGCTTACTGAATCAGTAACATCTACACCAATGAACAACCGCACCTGGTTCCATGAATCCAGCAAGACATGAGTACATCTTGGGGGGAAATCTTTTCTGCCTTCCAAGCAAGCAATCTTTTTTATCAGGTGACACTACCAGCATGATGAGTGATGGGTCCACACGCGGATAGCAAGTATTTTGAACACCTGCAATTCGCATTAAAAAAATGATATATCTAAACAAAAAAGCAGAACATCCATCAATTTTTTTATCAACATCTATTTCTTTTACAATCACTCCGTCCAAACACTAGCATCACTTCTTCGGGCACATCTACAATTTGTCATGGAACCTTTTGTTGACTGACATATATAGGATAAAAGGTCGGTGGGCGATCATTCGTTTGTTCGTGTTTACAGAGGATACCTGAAAGGTGAGTACTGGTTAAATGAGATGCACAACTATCATCTTCATTGTGCGCTAGATCTGTGGTGGACATCGGTCATCATGGGTAGCCATTCATTTCTTTACTCGGATGCTCAAAAAATGATCATGGTCTGTCCGCATCACCTATCTGTTGAGGCTTTCTAAGTAAGTTGCTCTGAGTTTACCCCTACCCTACGTGCCATCAATTTTACCAGTAACAACTATATTTTCAAGACCCTTATGATGATTAAAGAGTTCTTATTAGTGAGCTTCCCATTATGCTTCTTTAAGCACTGCCTCATTTGATTTCTTCTCCTTCCAATAAATTCTCAAGTCTCCCACCAAACCACAATTCTGATGCTTCTATTTTATTTTCAATTTTCATTCTTCAGTAATTGTACAGCATTCAAATCTGTATAGAAGGAATGACCCGACATGATCTTTTAGAACTATAGCAAAATCAAATCTAGAGAGCACAATAAGTTTATGACTTCTTGACAATTTCATTAAAAAAAAACCCAATCAGTTTCTCCTGTTAATTTAAGAAGAGAAAAAAAAGCAAGAGAATCAGGCTACAAAGGCAGAGGAAGACCATGAAAAACTAGACTGGATGGCGTCAAAGAGGTCCTCCAACAGACTGACATATCTACAACAGAAACCACCCATCTAGTCTTTGGCCCAAAATTACCTCTCCTCATCATCTAATGATGCAAGAGAAAGGAAAAAGTAAAGTACGTCAAGAAGGGAAGAAATACACTCTTAAATGGTTCAATAAGGAGTAAAAACACTGAACTCACCCTTGTTACTTGAACATTCCCAATTTTGACAAACTCTTTTGTAACCTCCTTCAGCAATTTTGGTGGCACTTCCACAAGTAGAACAAAACCTGAGAGGTATATATGTAGAAACATATGTCAGTCTTGCCTTAATCTATAGATAAACAGATAGAACAGAAAAATCTTCTATTCTTTTCATCTGCTTGCTCAATACAACACTAACCTACATTGCAAGCACACTTTTGGTCAATATCAATTCTGAGCATGTGCAAGAGTAAAGATGCACATTTTGCACTTACATGAACTGTAGAGACAAAGTCTTCTTAGCAATTTTATATTGAGAGACTACGAAACACTCAAGACCTTAATGTATGTTCTCTGGTGAGACGAAAAACAGTTATCACAGAATAAAAAATATTCAAGAAGATAAAATCGATTAAAAAAGGGAAGAAAAAAGGGATGAAAAATGTGTTACACAAAAAGTTGCAATTTCATAACTAAAGAGTAAAGAATAAAAAAAAAAAATCATATCGTATTTTCTAACTCTTTATCTCCGGCAAGCCGCTCCCAGCGGCTCGTGGTACTCGTCTGCTGGAACATTTTAGTGACCAACTTTCAGCACTTTTCAAAGACCCCTGAATAAGTGTTGAGTTCCTGCGTGCTGTCGGCATCGCTGACCGTTTAAGACGTCACAGCCCCATAAGAAAGAGAGAGAAGGAGCGGCTCGAGGTCAGAACTGCTGTGCCGGGGCTCAAGCACATTCCTTAACCATAACTTCGGCATCAAATTACTTTTCGGCAATTACCCAAAACAGGTCTCTTTTATTGGGAGTTCATTTATTGGATAAAGAACTATCAAAATAGGTTGACTTGTTTTGATTAAAAGACCCATTTGACACTGAGATATTCCATACAGATTATAAATAGACCAAAGTGTCCATCTGAGTCAAGTATTGTTCAACTCTTGTGGGGGGTGTGGAGGTAAACATTAAGGGAAGATACCTCAATAATAATTAAAAGATTTTAGCAGCAACTTCCCTTATGATTGGTATCAAAGCAACCTCTGTTACAGTCTCGTAAATTCTACGGGCCATAAGCACAGCGTTACACGGTTCAGGCCAGTAAATTCTACGGGCGCAGCAGCAAAGGGGTTAATTCTGAGTATGGGTAAAAGTACAGAAACTGTGTAAGTGAAATATCGTAGAAACAGCAGCAGAGGGCACTTCAACTTTACAACTGGAGAGAGTAGGACTGTTTGATATAAATATTGTCAGGAGGAGAGAATAACCTTAAGAACTAGCAATAATAATTATGTTTCAAAAAACCAAAACCACACAGCATTCCAGACCTGTTTTATATTCCCCGAACCAATGTGCAATGATTTCATTTGAATATAGAATATGTATAACAACTTCCTGCTGCGAAACATTTCAAAGAAAGCCCCGCATAGTGGTTTTTGAGATCCATTTTTTTGCTAACCAGGACCCTCAGAAGAAAAATCTATACAAATCAAAATGATGGATGGAAGACAAGGCGGACCCAGTCAAAATTTGCCTTGCTTATGTCACAGAATCTTGCCTATGGTGACATCTTAAAAGACTTACTTGTACTTATCCAACCAGCATAAGACAGAGTGTGCTTCCGCAAAAATCCCTGCCTGGGTTGGTTCCATTTGCATTGTCACTGGGAAAGGAGTTGCATATTTTCCTTCAGGGAAGAACTGTAAAAATACATCAAGAGAGGGTGAGTCAAGCTGGACACTGTTCACTGCTAGACTGTAGTGTTGTCTGTAGGGCAGTCACAAAAATAATTGTAAAAAATTTAGGCAGAAATTTTACTCCCACATCGACATTATTTAGTACATTTAGGAGAACAGCGGCTTCAACCCCTGCCTGTTAGAATCAACTCCGGCTGAGAAGCATACAACATCTCAGCAGACAGATGGAGATACTCAATAAAAATTTCTCCACACACAGAATGAAAAAGGGGACTTTCATGGTCTAGAGGTCAGTGTTCACCTCTCATTCAATAGGTCCCGGGATCGAATTCGGACAGTGACGAATATTCTCTTCTCTAAATTGTTCTCCTTTCACCTCCTGTCCTGTTCTCTAACAATGATCTGTCGTCTGCTTTTGTTTCCAACTGTCCCCCACCCCCTAATCTCCTTTGCTCCCTCCTCTCAGCTCCTGACTCTTTCTACAACTTTTCTACAGCTACTCCTCGGTTCTTTCTTACTGCTGTCTTTCATCCACACCTCTGATCTTATGGTAGGTAAGATCTAACATCTAGCCTTCTCAGATAAGGGCGAAAAATCTCTGAGGTTCTTTGTGAAAGTTGCGCACGTTAAAGATCCCTTGTGTTAAAAAAATCGATAAGTGTAGACTTCGGGCGACACACTGGCAAAATGCAAAATAAATTTCTACCAAACATAAAATGTTTAATGAGTCCCGAGCGCTCATATGACCTAATGCAGTTGCAAGCGCCGTAAAACACTTACCAAAAAAAAAACCCACACAGAAATGGAACTCGCATCTTCTGCATGCAACGACAAAGAGCATGACTGCTACACCACAGATGCTAGTAAAACTGGAACCATTCTCTTCTTTTACAATAACATGCTAAGCTGAGATAAAAAGGTTCATGCTGAATTTCAGTTTGAATAATAATATAGACATCTGCAACTTTGATGATTAACAGAGATCTACTACTTTACAAAGTAATTTTTTTCTAAACTTAAAAAAAGTTGGGTTTTCTTTTTGTTTTTCAGTTTCTCATTTTCACCAAAAAAAACACCCAGAATGCCACCTGTTATATATATTTTTTCCCCATTCAAATAATGTTTCTGTTGGACATAAAAAGCTGCTGAGACAGGAGCAAGTTTCGGTATACTTGAAAATGGCAGCAATAAAATAAAATACGCAGGATCAACACAGTATTTGCAGTGGAGATTGCTGAAACAAAAATTAGCTTGACCACCCAATTTTTTGGGGAGGTTTTGTCCTATTTTCGGTTTAGAGAGACTGCTTCTTCATGGCTTCTTTTCTTTATCTTCTTCAGGTAGGGCTGGAAAAACCTGACTCCACTTTTCCATTGCAATTTTTTTTTTCTCCAAATAATGATTGCCAACAACACAGCTTTTGGAATACTGTACGGGATTACCGTGCTTGCAGCAAATTTCACTTTACAAAATTTCTCTTTCAGTAACCCCAATGAGAGCTGTAGGCAGATTGCAATATGCTTTCTCTTCAATTATGTCAGCATGTTTAATCTGATGCACACACACACAGAACTGAATAGATGTAGGAGTTCTTTGAATTGTGTTCTGGTCTATAACAGAACAGAAAGAAGGTCCAGTATCAGTGGCGTCATGAAATACATCCATTCTGATAAGATTATGTCCCTTTTATACCATTCTATGATTGAAAGCGAGCTATTATTTTGTATTTGCTGCTGGGCTGGGAATTGTACGGTGAAAGGTAAAGAAAAATTTGACAGAACCATTAAGAAAGCCAGCAGGATCTGTGGATAAGACCTTACTAGAACTGATGAAATGTATAACATCACAACTATAAAAAAGAAAAAAGCATTATAAACGACTCATCATACCCCTTTTCCACACAAATTGTTAGATCCCGCAGAGGCAGATATGGACCTCTAAAAACAAAGAAAGAAAGATATAAAAGAAGTTTTTGACCATCTAGCATAAGGTTATTGTCAGAATAAACATAGGTGTGTATTGCTCTTTAAAGTATGTATCTATATATATAACTCCAAAGGAATTTAATTTCAAGACCTTTGGAGTTATATATACAGATATATACTTTAAAGAGCAATACACATCTGATGTGAAATGTACTTTTTGTCACCTTCACTTTTCTTTTCATATCGAATTTTAATGAGAGTAATATATAATTTAATTTTTTTATGTGTACCTATATGTGTTTTTACGGTCCTGAAGAGCAAATTAAAAATTTCTCTCGGGGATAATAAAGTATTATCTTATCTTATCAAATGCAAAAACGTGCTCATGTGAAAGCATATGTGAATTAGCTTCGCAGAGACAACCAAAGGTCTCGCAAGAGACATTCGCTATCCTAGCATCACTGCACACAGTGTACGTGTAGGCTTATTCATGTGTGATATACGAAGGCAAATAGTGCACTGGCAATGCCTCTACTCTTTCTGATAATTACACACCTATGTTCTCATTTTCACTTTTAATTTTGCTATCTTTACATGTGTAAAATTTAATAAATTTGCATTACTTACGGGGTTGCTAGGGAAAAATAAAACTACATAACCTTTGAAATCCTGTTTGGTTTAGAAACAGACATTGTTTTATTGTTTTAGTAGAGGTTTTACGGCGCCCGCATCGACATAAGGTCATTTGAGCGCCAAGGGGTGGATTTCAACAGAGAAATCCTTACAGGGAATCAGACTTACTCTTCTCACCTCTCTAGCTTCAACGCACAAAGTCTGCTTCGACTAACAAGGAACCCCGGAAATAGCGTTTCACAAGACTGTGACAAACATAATACAAAAGAAGTAGAGTAAAATGACTATAGTAAGGATTAGGAAAGAAAAAGCAGCAGTACCCTGTTGTAATTCAGGCACAGTTATGAGCATGACATAGTTGGATCAGCCCATTTACAATTCTAAATTCTACTGTGCATTAGAACGAGAAATTTCCCCTGTTTGGGAATGGCCTCTGTGGCACCGCCCCGGAGGGTAGAAATAGGAGTATTTCGACTAATTGGTAGTTTTCTTACAAAGACAAACAAGAAAACAGTCAGGGATTCTGTTTACTTTCGAATAATGCTATTTTCAGATTAAACGTTTTCAAATTCAGCGATCTCCACTGTTTATTATTTAAGGGACTAAACCTTCTTTTAAGTACCTATCTTCACTTACACACCAACAAGCACATAAATAGAATTAATCCCATGTGGGAACCCCATTGCAGACACTGTGACTACCACGAGGAGACCGTTGATCATCTTCTCCTTCACTGCCCAAACCCTGGCAATTCTTCGACGCAGGCTCCTACACACACCTACAGTCTTACAAAGCCTGCTCTACTCTGGCACTGACCAGATGACAAGGACATGTGGTCACTTGAGGGAGGCATTGCGCTGCCAAGAGCGAAATGCTCGCAGCTAAAGGGATTTGAAAATAACAACAACAACAAGTGCCTATCTCCGTCAAGACTCGGCCAAGTGGGTGAGAAGTAATAAAAGGTACATAAATTACCAAAGTTCAAGAATCAATGCAGCCCTTACTACAGCCCAGTATCACATCCACAGGGCAAGTAGCACTCCAAAAGTAGACCTGTTGAGTTTGAAACTACTTGTTACATATTAGCAATTAAGATACCCCTTCTGAAGGCTGAAATTCTTACGAGCATACCTTTGGACCAATATCTGACAATTCCTCTTTGATGTCAACAGCAAACCAAGCATTTGAATCAGGGTCCCAAGTTTCAAGTCCCAGGAATATAACAGTCCCTCTCTCAAGTAATTCTGTGCCCAGCTGGTTAATGTTGAAAACAGCAAATCTGAATCAAAATAATTCTAAGTTATTGCAAAGGTAGAGTTCACAGGTTTCTCTAAAATGGAAACAAAAAACAAATGAATTGAATTTCTTTTAATTTCTTACGACTGGAGCAACTATGGAAACTACTTTGAAACCCTGAAGATAAAAAAAAAGAAGCCAGCATACATACAGGGATACTGACTTAAAAGTGCAAAATATTGCCAACATTTCTAATACACAGCTTTTTGAGCCTGAGCCCTAACACTCAATATACTACTGAAGCAGCTTTACAGATACTGAGTTTAAAATGAAATATGGGGTTTAACACTTTCCCTACTAAACGTACACCAGTGTGTGCCAGCTTTCTTTACCATTGGCTGCGCAGCGCACGCCGCTCTGCGTCACGAGAATGTTCGTTCAATGCGGAATGCACATATCGGTGTGTTAAGAATTTTTTAAACAAAAGAATAAAGGATTTGGTAAGGGATGTCACTCTAATGATATGGAAGGTCAAAACGTTTTATTGGTTTCTTCCCTTTTGCTTAAAGATGATGTTAGTGAGGGTCTTTTTAGAACAAAACGATAGATGTTCCAAAATTAGTAGGTCAAAGCGAGCGCGTCTCATGCCTGCAAATACTGCACTAGACATGATATTTCAAGAAGAATCTGAGGAAGAAGAGTCTATAGATCATTACAGTGATATTGATAGCGAGTATGAGCCACACAACGATCTTCTTCATGAACGGAATGCAGTTAGATCTGGATCTAGATCTAGGGCTTGTAAAAAAGTAACATTTTTCGGCTTTTTATGGTCAATGTTCATAACCTCGCTGTCATATTTCATATTATCACAGCTCCTTTTCCTTTCCACACAGCATTCTATAGATCTTTAGCTTTACATATGTCTACTTTTGTACTTCTAAACCTATTTTACAATAAATGGTGAATTTTTCACTGACGCCACAAAACACTACGTTTTTAGGGAATAGACTATTATTTTAGTTAAGTATCCGCCTTCGAACAGAACATATACAGCTCAACTTTCACTTGAAAAGAATAAAACCTGAACTTCCCCCAATATGTCTTTTGTGTGACTATGCAAAGGGAGACTGTGGAACATCACCTTTACAACTGTGCAGCCCTAAATGACATCAGAGCTGCACTTCTCCCTCCGAGACTTAACATTGACAACACACTCTATGGAACTTTACAGCAACTGCAACAAATCTGCACTTATCCCTTCATGGCATTGGACAGAAGGGCGAGAGCCCAGTGGTTGCTGGATTGATAACAACAACAACAAGTTATTTATTGAGGGTTTATCCAATGAGCTGGGGCTACTTAGGGAAAGTGGTAATGGAAATAAATGTTTCCTGACAACATCTACATTTCAGGTAAAAATCTTGACGCATAAGTGGCATAAAGAATCACGAACATCCAACTTTGAACCCCCCCCAAAAACCATTAGGACATGTTGCTATCATTGTTTATAGAGCTGGTATCTAAAACCATAGTAAAAGTTGTTGTTATCAATCAGTTAGAAAGACACTGTATGGGAAACAGATTAACTATATTTTTGATAATACTATTCACAAGACAAACTAAGGAACAACAACAGAAACTCACTTGTATTTTCTTGAAGGCTCTTCTGACCTCAATAAGAAGGGCTTCTGATCTGAGAACAAGACAAATTTCGTGGACATGTTGTTTTTGGCTGCTTGAAGACCTGCGGTATCTTTCCTCATTTCTGAAGCCCTATACAGTGGGTTGAGAGAGAAGTAGTTGTGGATTTGGTCGAACTCCACACCCTGTTTATGCTGAGACAATACAGAAGCAGCCTCACTGTGGTTCCAGAAGCGAGCGATTTCCAGGGCAGTCTGTCCAGAGGCATTCAAGCAGTTTACATCACAACTGCGAGAAAAAAAAAATGGGGAAAAAACAACCTTATGATGTAATTTTAAAAAAAGATAAAAAACAAAAAAACATATTATTCAAGGAGGGTGATATAACTAGACAGTCCAGATTACATCAGGAAAATGGCAAATGCATCCCTGTGAAAAGGTAACTGTTCAATTTTAGAAAGTATTGCACATTAAAATAAAAATCCAGGGTCATTACAATCTAAAGTAAACTTCAATTTCTTTGGTTATCAAGCATGAAATCCTATTTTCCACACTCCGTGTTACCGTTAACCCAGATCTTACCCTCTCTCTATAAGTATGGATATGACATGGGTTTGTCCATTTCGTGCAGCAAACATCAAAGCCGTCCATCCTCTCTCACTTTTCACGTTGATATCCACAGCACCTGTCAAATAAAAAGAAGATACTCCCTGACTGCTGGCTGTTGCCTGCCTGAGTTTGGTTTTGCGCTGAATATAATATCAAGCTCATTGACATGTAGATGGGAAAAGGCTTTGAGAAAATTAGCTTAAAGATAAAAGGATTTACAGATAGCACTGAGGAAGGGACTGATAGCTTTAAATTCAAGTATTACAGATCCTGAAGCCACATGATGATGCACATAGCCATGTAAGGTCATATAAACCAAACACTTCGAGACATGCAGCCCAGAAGACCATGAGCTAAGGATATTTTGCCAGTGCGAATTTGATGGGCTCTGGGTTTACGACATTATATTTATATATTTGCTTTTTTCAACAATTAGAATCTGAATTTGAACAAAATATTTCCAGAGCAGATGCAACACATACCACACACAAAGAAACATCAATCTAATAAAATTTTAAAATTTCAGGATTAGAGCACCTGAACTGCTTGCACATGATATGCTGATATGCTGCAGAAGTCATTTTAAATAGATATTATAGAGCAACATTAATTTGACAACCTGAACTATAAATAATGTGGCCCATTAAATTGTTTCTGCAAAGCTTGTTCCCATAGACGCCTCCGTGTGCAAAAGTCATTTTAATACAAAATATCTAAGGATACAAAAAACACATCTTACATTACAAGGCAAAAAAACAAGCAAACATTTCTTCATTATATAGAAACTTAGATATAACAATTTTTCACACACTACACAGATTTTTCTTGTGGTTCCACTCTGCTTCCCCAGTAAACAATCACCAACAATGGTAGGGCCTCTACTGAAAAAAATTCCGAGAAGTGGGCTACTGTTTTCTACTTTACCTTGTCAAAGTGTTTTAACTTTTATGTTACAACTTTTTGTTTATACAACACTTCAATGAACACAACTCATAATAAAGATGAACTTCAATTTTAAAACAAACAGTAAGTAAGAATTTAAAGCATTTACAACACCCTGGTAGCATTACCCAGTAAACCGCTTATTTCTGCAAGGTCACCACGAGCAGCACTGTCCAAGAACCTTTGGTTGAACTCCTTGATACCGCCACGAGAGTAATCCAGAGGGTAATTGTTGTTATTCATTTTCCCCCTGCGTCAGGAAAGAAAAATAGCTGTTGAGCTGACAATTCCAACATAATATTTTATTTTCAGTGAGTCATCACTCCTCACTAAACAAGAAACAGATAAAATAGAAGGACAAAACTATGAACATTCTATTCATTCTTTGAATTTGGGGGCCAGTCTGGTTTCCAATTTACCTTTAACTTCAATTTAACAAAAGTTAAACCATTATTAAACTTCACCAGTGTTTTAGACAGTCTAAAAAAACAATGAAAAAGTGAACCCACACAGTACACAGCCTCACACTTCAGGTTTGGGTATGTGCATATTCAATAAAATAATTGAGAATAACTCAAATGAATAGAATTACAACATTAATAACATGCTGCCCAGAATGTATGTTTTGATTAAAAAACTAGGAAGTAGCTAAATTTTCTAGTAGGAACTGTCTAGCTGCTGCATTCAATATTTATTCGTTTCATACATATTAATCATCAATAAATCGAACAGTAGGCCTTCAAAATCAAACTTAATTATCATTATTAGTAGATCTAGATAGTTTTGTAAGCACAAGAAATTAAGCACTTACACAAAATTATGGCCTCAATAGGATGCTGAGCAGCACATAGAGTAATTCGAGACTGCAAGGTTTGCAAATGGTTACTGTGAGGTACAAATGCAGTGTACTAGGGGGAACCACTAGGAAAGACTCAAAGGATGAAGGGGCAGAAAGCAGGGGGGAAGAGGGGAAGGGTGGAGGGGTGATGTTATGTTGAAGGAGCTTGGAAACTGCCACTGCAAAACCATCATTATTTTTAAAATCACGATCAGATGACGCGGCGGGCATCCCCCTCGCAAGGTGGTCAAACAAGATGGCTGTCACTATAAATATCAGCCAAAAACGTATTGTTGTCATTCTCTAGCTATCCGCTTGTGAGGAACTGATCAGTGGAACCAGATTTAGACTGAATCATTTAAATAATTTTACATAGATCTATCATGTATCCAGCATCATCATCATCATCAATGCCTTCCACCACTGGCAGGGTATAGGCCACATACAAGCTCCTTCCATTTATCTGTCCTGGGCCATCCTTCCAAGCTAGTTCCAAGTAAGTTTCATCTCTCTCATGTCCCTTTCTACTCATCTCCTCAATGTTTCCCATGGCCTACCTCTGCCTCCTGCTCCCTGAAGGTTCTACTGCAGCGGCTGTCCTGTGATGCTTCCGCTGGGCTTTCTGAATGTGTGTCCAATCCATGACCACTTTTTTAGTCCTATTTCTACTCTTCTATGTCCTTTTGTCCTGTCCTTTCCCACAGCTCTTCATTTTTTATTCTATCCTGCCACTTAATTCTTAGATACTCCTCATACATCTGTTGATGAAAGTCTGGACTTTATTCAGTATTGTCTTTGTTGTCTTCCAAGTTTCGCAGTCGAAGAGGAGCACAAACTTGACATTGGAGTTAAAGAGTCGATTAGTGCGCAGTGAGATGTTGCTTGCTTTCCAGACATTTGATAACTGATTGAATGCTGACGTTGCCTTGGCGGTTCGTGCTTTAACATCTGCCTCGGTTCCACCTTTACCATCGATGACACTTCCAAGGTAGGTAAAGGAGTCCACTTCTTCCAGGGGAGAGTCTTCCACTATCACAGCAGGGCTTGAAAGTTTTCCTAGCTTCACTACTTTCGACCTGCCCGGATGTATACGCAGGCCAACACTCCTTGATAGGCTGTTGAGTTCCTTGTTGCATCCGAACAATTGTGTGAGAGAGCAGTGCAAGGTCATCAGTGAAGTCAAAGTCGTACAGCTGCTGCCAAGGGATGCACTGTATTCCATTGTGTTTGCCTCTGGTGGCTTCTTTCATAACTCAGTCAATTGCCAGTATGAAGAGAAAAGGTGAGAGCAAGCAACCTAGTCGCACTCCAGTCTGTACCTGGAATGGTTCTAAGAGTTGTCCTTCGTGGAACACTTGGCAGTTTGTTCTATCATAGGTGGCCTTCACAAGCTCGACAATTTTCTCAGGTATTCCATAATGCCTCATGAGTTTCCACAGAGTTTCCCTGTCCACGCTATCGAACGCTTTTTCATAAACAAAAGTTGACCAAGAGTGGTGAATTCCATTTAAGTGATTGCTCAACAATGATGACAGAGTAGCGATCTGGTCCACACATGACCTGTTCTTGCGGAATGCTAACTGGTTTCATCGGAGCTTCTTGTCTGTTGCCAGCTCGATTCTCTCCAGGTGTATCTTGTTAAAGACTTTCCCAGGTATGGACAGGAGTGTTATGCCTCTGTAGTTGTTACAATTGCTGAGGTCTCCATTCTTCGGCAGCTTCATTAGGTGGCCTTCCTTCCAGTCTGTTGATATTTCCTCCTCTTGCCAAACCTTTTACTATTGAGCATAGGGAATTTCCACGGAAGTATCTTTGTCTGCCTTAACCTTAAAGGCTTCCGGTAGGTATGGTCGGGACCAGCTGCCTTGTGGGACATTAGTGAAGTTATAGCTGCAGCCATTTCCTCTCTCAAAGGTAGTTCCGTAACTATTGGGAGGTAATTTCTGGCTGGAAGAATTTCTGGTTGGTTTTCTGAAGGTGGTCTGCTCAAGAGTTGATCAAAGTGTTCTCTCCAGTGTTAAGTTGCCCCTCTGGGTCGAAAATAGTCTTTCCCGCTTTGTCTTTCACTGGTAGAGTGGGCTTGCTGAACCTACCTGAAAGAGTTTTCGTTGTCTGGTGTACAATCCGCAAGTGTCCGTCTGTTGCTGCTTTCTCTGTCTTTTCGGCTAGGCCATTCAGGTAGATATTTTTGTCTTTCTTGATGGAATTCTTTACCTCCCGGTATATTTCGGTGTACTCTTGTTGTACAGCGAGTTTCTCAGTTCGGGTATGGCTGTTGTTGACTTGGGCCTTCATCAGCTCTCTTCTTCTTTTGACTTAATAATAATAATGGATTGCATTTATACAGCGCATATCCACCCATGCAATGCTCTATGCGCTTAACATGATACATATTATGGATTTACAAATCAATTTTAAAGGTACATAGTGTTACATATTCGTGCAAACACATATTCACTCACGCACGCACCACACACACATACATACACACATACGTACATATGCACATACGCACATGCAAACTCACAACGATATACAGCTTGGATGGATTCTGTCTAATCGAAATATGATGAAAATAGAAATGCTTTTAGTTTCTTCTTAAAAATTTCTAGATTTTCTGCTTCTCTGATAGTTTTTGGAAGCCTTCTATTCCAAACAAGTGGGGCAAAATATGAAAAAGAGCGTTGGCCATATATGATTTGTAATTTATTTTAGGCTTAACAAGGGTTGTTTTGTCACTTGATAATCTGAGCGTTCAAGGAGGCACATAGGTTGTTAAAAGCTGTTTTAGATAGTCCGGTGATAAATCATTTAAGCACTTGTAGCAAGTTAAACAGATTTTATATGATACGCTCTTTCACTGGGAGCCAGTGTAATGCTTTTGAGAGTCACATGATCATGCTTTAGTTTTTTTGTAATTATTTTGGCAGCAATATTTTGTACTCTTTGTAGTTGTTGTAACTGTTCATCAGGTACACCAGCCAGTAAGGAATTGCAATAATCAATCCTTGACAATATCTAGACAGTCCTGGGAAATCCATTCATTCCTGGCGTTGACTTTGGGTCCTAGGGTGCTCTGGCAAGTTGCATTTACTGCCTCTTTTATCTTGTTCCAGAGTTCATTTACTTCACATTTATCCAGATCTTGAAGGGCTTGAAATCTGTTCTTCAGTTCCAACCTGAATTCATTCTTTTTTGCTGGGTCTTTCAGAAGGCTCACTTCATACTTTTGACGACTTCCAGATACCTTCTCAGTTTCAGATTCATCTTTCCAAGGATCAAATGGTGGACTGATGCGACGTCTGCTCCTCGTAAGACAAGACTCGGACGTCCTCCAGCGAGCATCTAAACTTTCAAGAGATGCAAAAATGGTCGATCTGGTTTTCCGTTGTTCCATCTGGGGAGACCCAAGTGGCCTTATGAATCATTTTAAGTGGGAAGATAGTTCCTCCTATAACCAAGCTGTTGAATGCACAGAAGCCGAAGGTCTGGAATCTTTCTCCATTGTCATTTGCCTCTCCTAATCCATGTCTGCCCATGATTTCCTCACAGTGACTATTGTCCGAACCTATATTTGTATAAAATTTAAGTCTCCCATTACAATGTTGATGTCCTTACCTGGAATTTGTCAATCACACACTGCAGGCGAGTGTAGAAGTCCTCTTTATTCTCCTCTTTTGCATCATTGGTTTGGGCATACACACTTGTATGATGTTCATGTTTTTATGACCTTCTTTCCTACCATCTTCCCTTGAGTTCTTTCTCTTAATTCCAAATGAGGCCATGATGATCCTTGGGCTGTGCGCTTCCCAGCCCCTGAATGTCTTTTGTGCTGTTTTGGATATGATCATCCCTACTCCTTCCCTGTGTGGTCCATCACTTTCATTTCCTGAATAAATGAAAGCTCCCTCCTTTCATTCGTTTCTGTCAAGATTGGTTTGAGTGGGTTTAGCTGATTCCCAGTATGTGTAGCCTAGTTGGTATCGGTGCATCTCTTGAAGGACCTCTGTGCAGTTTTTCCAGCCTTATATAAAGGGTCCTAACGTTCCACAATCAAATCCAAGGAGACTTGGACTTTTGGATGATGGTGGAGGCTTACTGCCCATCATCTTTCTTTCGGCTTTCACTGCCTCGCGTCATAAACTCTCCATTCGGAGAAGATCCACGATCAGCCAAGCAGAGAAATTGGTTTTTGCTTGTATTAGTTTCTGTAACAATAGGTTCTGAGAGGTTGTTAGCCTTGTGACTCAACAAACTGTATCCAGGCCTACTATTTTCAAAGTTAAAACTGACTTCTAGATATCTACCTCTATATCAATCAAGAGAGGAACGCCCATCCATATGAAAAAGAAATCTAGATCTAGAAACTAGATATCTAGATCTAGATAGATCTAGATCTAGAATCTAGATTCTAACTTTGTTTGAAATTCTCTTGGCTACTCACCTCACAGCAACAGCCTCAACGGGTGCACGACAAGAAGTTCTTGAAAATGTCTGGGACAGTTTTCTAATATTATTGAAAGTTCCAGGTGCACCAGGCGATGACAGCTCAACAGGAAACCGACGGAATGCTGCCTGACACCGCAACGTTCGTGAAAAAAGCGTCATGTATTTTGGAGAGGATGACTAGACATTCAGAGTCCAGGCAGGCACATCCACGGACCACAACTGCAGCAGCCGGAGAGAGGTGGTGAGAAGTGAGAAGGCTTGACAGAGAGAGATCTATTTACATAACACAACCAATGCTCGATACCAAGGAATTTCAAAGTAATGGTATCGTGAGTATATTTTCTTAACGATTAGAAGTAAAAGCACAGACACTTTAAAAGTAAGTCTACGTCCTGAGCCCCCACCCCATTCAGATTTTTTTTTCATCTGCTGCGAACATCCCATGCTCAACTGCCTTTGGTACCATTTGTGGGGCGCCTTGATGTCAACCTGGAAAGATGGTTTTAAATAATCTTAAAAGTGTGGGGGAGGGGGGCAAGTAGGCTACACCACTGTATGTGACAAAGTGAGGGTAAGCAGTGGATCTATTTACCCCTACAAATGCAATCGATAGTGATTCTGCTAAAGCAAGTTGTAGCCTATTCCAATGTCCGCGATGACAGAAAATTATAATATGGTCAATTTGGCCAAAGATTGTTAAGATAATCGATAAGACTGCAATAACGTAGAACAAAATCGAAAGCAGTCTATACCCACTCTTTAGTACTGCTGGATGCTGCTGGCTAACTGTGCCCTGAAGAATGATTGCTCAAAGTTCACCGAGGTCGCACTCGAGTCCATAGTCCGTATTATCAGAGACACTAAAATATTATTAAATACTCTCTGGTATTATTCACATTCGGAGTTCAGAGTGGACTGGCCTGCGCGCAATGAAATCTCTCTCGCTCTCTCTCTCGCTCTCTCTCTCTCGCGCGCTCTCTCTCTCTCTCTCTCTCTCTCTCTCG